GAAAGAGAGAAAGTTTCCATTTTTGTTACAAAATCAAAGCCTGGGGGGCAGCGAAGGACAGAAGAAATTACAGACCTGGAGGCAGGGGCGGGGGGATTAGAGCAAGTGCGCAGTCTTCGGAGTAGCTCCTCAGGTTCTGAAGGGTTTTTAGCCTCCAACATCATTTCCTGCCTTCGTCCCCATCCCATCTTTGTCTATGTTTCCAGGATTGGGAAGTTTGATAACATGGATTTAAAACATGAATGCTGTGGTGACTGTTTTCCAATGTCTGCATGGCACACAGGTGTTTGGCTTTCAAAGCAGCATTATTATTGATTAGTGTTTTGTGTTTACTCCCTAGAGGCAGATTGTTAATAATAAGGGAAAGGATATATTAAAACAGATAAACTGAGGAGAGCGAGGTAGATTTGCTAATAGCTTTTGTTGTTTTCTTTTTGCAGCTGACACCACGGCGCAGGATAACCGTAAGTTAATTTTACCATCAATGTTTTTAGCCATAATAAACATCTCAGAAGTGCTGCTGCTAAGATTGATCCTGCCATTGCTAACCGCTCAGAGGGAATCTAAAAAATGGGGCGTCTTTAACCACTAAGAGCATATGCCCATTTGTATGAGCGCCCGTATGAATGTGAGCGTGCACGTATGCGTCTGGGCCTAACCCAGAACCCACTGAAGTCAATGGGAGTCTTTCCATTGACTCCAGTGGGTGCTGAGCCAGCCCCTACCTGTGTGTCTGCCTCTCTGTGTGTTGGGTCATAGAGAATGTCTTTACTTCTTCTTTTTAAAAATACAGATCCAGGAAACTTTATACCTGCACACTGGGTTCCACCTGGCTCCTTTGCAGTCAGTCGGGGAGTCTTATTATTAACAACAGTTACTGAGTTTCCCCACCTGTAACATGGGGATACTGATTCTGATCTGCATAAAGCACTGTGAGAGCTACCGAGGAAAGCGCAAGGTATTATAGTATATAATAGTGGCATTGGGGTGGCACCCAGGCCGTATTTAGGAGCAGGACCCTCTTGGTCTGTGCTCAGCACATATGCATAGGACCACAGTCCCTGCCCTGACTAGCTCACAGTCTAAGAACAGTGTTACAGTTGACTCGGATGGGTAGACAATGGGGTGAATTATTTCCCCTCTTTCCATTTGCATTTTTCCACTGGGGCATCAGTCGCACTAACTCTCTCTTTCCAACTTTAATTTTTCTCCGTCTAATTCCAGTCCACGGGCAAACAATCTCTCCCCACCCCCATTTACCTGTGCCCCGCCCACAGTCCATTTTCACTCATCAGAGCCATGCCACGCAGTGTGCATGCTTCTGAAATCTGCATTCCGATTGGTTAGTGAGCAGGGAGCTGGAAAAGGTGGTTTCTGGGATTGAGAAGGTTTACATAAGAACGGCCATACTGGGTCAGACCAAAGGTCCATTTAGCCCAGTATCCTGTCCTCTGACAGTGACCAGTGACAGGTGCTTCAAAGGGAATTAACAGAACAGGGCAATTATCAAATGATCCATCCCCTGTCGCCCACTCCCAGCTTCTGGCAAACAGAGGCTAGGGACACATCCCTGCCCATCCTGGCTAATAGCCATGGATGGACCTATCCTCCATGAACTTATCTAGCTCTTTTTTTTTAACCATGTTATAGTCTTGGCCTTCAAAATATCCTCTGGCAAGGAGTTCCACAGGTTGACTGTGCGTTGTATGAAAAAATACTTCCTGTTGTTTGTTTTAAACTTGCTGCCTCTTTATTTCATTTGGTGACCCCTAGTTCTTGTGTTATGAGAAGGAGTAAATAACACTTCCTTATTTACTTTCTCCACACCAGTCATGATTTTATAGACCTCAGTCATATCCCCCCTTAGTCGTCTTTTTTCCAAACTGAAAAGACCCAGTCTTATTAATCTCTCTTCATACAGAAGCTGTTCCATACCCCTAATCATTTTTGTTGCCCTTTTCTGAACCTTTTTCCAATTCCAATATATCTTTTTTGAGATGGGGTGACCACATCTGCACACCGTATTCAAGATGTGGGCATACCATGGATTTATATAGAGACAATATGATATTTTCTGTCTTATTATCTGTCCCTTTCTTAATGATTCCCAACATTCTGTTCACTTTTTTGACTGCCACTGCACATTGAGTGGATGTTTTCAGAGAACTATCCACAGTGACTCCAAGATCTCTTTCTTGAGTGGTAACAGCTAATTTAGACCCCATCATTTTATGCATATAGTTGGGATTATGTTTTCCAGTGTGCATTACTTTGCATTTATCAACATGAATTTCATATGCCATTTTGTTGCCCAGTCCCAGTTTTGAGAGATCCCCTTGTCCATATGCTTGTTGATCCCCCTCAAAGAATTCTAGGAGATTGGTGAGCCATGATTTCCCTTTACAAAAACCATGTTGACTATTGCCCAACAAATTATGTTCATCTATGTGTCTGACAATTTTGTTCTTTACTATCGTTTCAACCCATTTGCCCGCTACTGAAGTCAGGTTTACCGGCCTGTAATTGCCGGGGTCACCTCTGGAGCCCTTTTTAAAAATTGGTGTCATGTTAGCTATCCTCCAGTCATTTGGTACAGAAGCTGATTCCAGCAAGGTTTATTCAGTGATTAAAGTGGTCTGAGAAAAGATTGGGGCATCCATCACAATCCCAGACAAAATAAGTGTTCGTGCACAGGAGAGACAATTCCCAGTTCAACTTTGTGAGTTAATTGATTACATAATAATGAGGATCAATTTTTAGCTCCTGAAGCCATTTATAGCTACTTACCGTTATTGCTTGTGAATGCGGAGAGCGTTATACACCACAACTCCCCCCGAACTGATAACTAGGTTAGAGTTTTTACATTTAACCTAACGATCCCATTTCCAGAGTCCCTCCGAGAGACAAGGCAGTGCTCAAAGTGAGCCCCTCAGTGACACAGCTCCATGGTTAATTATATTTTTGCTGCGTCTGGGACCCCCTTGCCCTGCCCATTTTAAGCACTGGTTTTACTGAATACCTGTGTTTCTGTTGTTCTTTCTTCCCGTTTAGTAGAGTTCAGGGTGGTGATCTCTAAGACCAAGGTGACTCTCACCTGCCCCGTTCCGCCAGACACAGAATGGAAGAGAAATGAGAAATCGGTACCTGGTGCTGGTAAGGAACAGGACTATGTGATTGAGGAGTACGAGAGTTCCAAGCATGACGGGGAGTATACGTGTATGTCCGGGACAGAGTCCCTCAAGCTTCTCCTGAAGGCCAAAGGTAAATGGGAGAAAGCGCCCCTTCCATGGGAATAAGCAGGCACATGAGATGTCATGGGAGGCTACAGAGGCTAGCGATTAATTCTGTGACCTTATTGCCCGGAAGATTCACATGCCATAACGTACGCAGAGGCCTGATTTTCAGGGGCGCTGCTGGGACTGACTTCGACACTCAGCTGCTCTGAGGTCCAGCCAGCCCCCCATGAGCACTGCAATTCCATGGGGCACTGTTCAAAAGAGTATGTGTTTGCCATGGGATGTGTGGCTCAATTACCCCTCTCTGCACTGTTGTGTGGTGTGCTTTGCCCTTGCTGTGTCCTCCACCCCAGAGGTGGCTGCATTTCAAAGGCACTTTATACACCTAGCTTGGGAGCTGCTTTGGGATGGGAGAGGCTGTATAAATGTGAGCCTATTATCTCTCCCTGAGACCAGTGACCTTTCATGAGCTTCAGAGAATCATGAATCTTCAGGAACTTGGCAGGACACTCCAGGTCTGGAGGCTTGGAGAGGGCACAGCCCGGCTTCCCCAGTCCCACTTGGAAACTGAATCAATTCTCCTCCATTCTGACAAAGCCCCTTGCAACCCATGCACTATCTCGGGTGTCTGGGGAGCTGCTTGGGGAACCCGAGAATCCCTGCACTCTTTCCGACACAGACAGAAAGGGCTGGGGAGGCAGGGATGAGGAGCATGGAACGAACTGTTACAACCCGGGGATGTTTGCACCCTGCTGCCAAGGGCCATGCAGAAAAAACGGGGGACATTTCAGTCACTGACCGCTCCAGCCACCCCAGCGGTGTTGGCAGAGTGAGGCGTGTGTAGGGGGGAACAGAAAGGTGTCTCCCTTCCCCCTTCACTCCTCCACTTACTGTTCTTGCCCCCTCATGATGTGTGCGGTCTCCATCCACACAAAGCAAGTGGGTGAGGTCTGGGCAGACCAAACACGGGGCATTTACCCAGCAGTGTCTCTGGGCTGGGACTTGTGACTCCCACCTCCCGCCGTCCCCCTTCCCCCCGCTCTGCCCTTCTCCCTCTCGCTGAGCCCCCTGTCCCTTCCCACCACAGTGTGCAGGAGCTGTGAGGAGCTGGAAGTCTTGACAGTGGCTGGGGTCATCATCGCAGATCTCCTCATCACCCTCGGGGTGCTGATCCTGGTCTATTACTTCAGCAAGAACCGGAAGGGGCGAGTCGGTGGCAGCGCCGGAGTTCATCCGAAAGGTAAGAGCCGGTTCGAATCTCTCCTGTGAATAAGTGGCTGAGCGTCTTCAACTGGGGGAAATGCTGGGGTCAAGCCCACCTCAGGCTCCTCCTGCTGCTTACCACACCCCGTGCCGCCCTTCGTGTGGGGAAGGTGCAGCTGCCATTTTGTGCTGAAAGTGCCCCAGGCACAGGAACCCGTTGCACAGGCTGTGGTGAAGCAGCCATGAGAAAGGCAAAGGGAGGGTGGGGCTGGCTGGAAGGGCTGCACTGCTGCCTCCCCGGCAGTATCGCAGCACAGCCACCCTCAAGCATTCACACCACGAGTCAGGCCCTAACCTCAGGGAGTTGGTTTAAAAATCAGGAGATTTGATTTAAATGAGAAATATGGGGGTTTTGTCTCTGCTCTCTGAGCCCGTCGGTAGGGTCACATTTTTAGTTCTTTCTCTACAACCAGGAGGGCTAGAAACTGCCTTGTTTTAAAATGGAAGCTGAGATTCTTGTGCAGTCTCTTGATTCCCGCAGTGGGGGCACTAAGACGTACACCACAAGTCACCGACACTCCCAAGAGCTGACCACACTGCATTTTGCACCCCAGGCAGAGCGTCCTTTGATTCAGGGCTGGAGGCCTGTGTCTCGGAGGATAGTCCTGTGTTCTGGGTGTGACAAAGGCCAGATGCTCAGGGCCGAGGTGTCTCAATTGGGCCCCCAAAATCGGTGGACATTGTGTGCCCTGTTCCTGAAACGCCCACGGAGCTGCGGGGATGAGTCACGCCTGCAAAGCTCTGTGTCTGCGCTAAGAATCGGTAGTATTCCACCTGAACGTTCTCCCTGCTTTGCCTTCCAGGCCAGAAGATGGTGCGCCCCCCGCCTGTGCCAAACCCAGACTATGAGGTAACGGGAACCGAGGGGGTGGGGGTCCCTCTCCTCTCTTGGCCTTTCCAGAACTATTGGGATTGGGGTCACAGCCTTCTTGGTGGATGAGAGCTGAGAAATTACAGCATTGGTCCCCTTCCACCAGGTGCTTTGTTCAGCTCCAGTATCAGGAGGTAGCCGTGTTAGTCTGTATCTACAAAAACAACAAGGAGTCTGGTGGCACCTTAAAGACTAACAGATTTATTTGGGCATAAGCTTTCGTGAGTAAAAACTGCATCCGAAGAAGTGAGGTTTTTACTCACGAAAGCTTATGCCCAAATAAATCTGCTAGTCTTTAAGGTGCCACCAGACTCCTTGTTGTTTTTGTTCAGCTCCAGGCTTCACCTGGGTGCGGGGGAAGGAGTGACTGAGCAGGGCCATGTGGCTTCCTAAGGGTAGTTAGCAACAGAAGGATCATCACAGCATGCAGGGTACAGTGTGCATCCCCAGAGCTGCACGCTCCCTGCGCCCAGGTCACACCTGGTGGTAGCACTGAGGAGCCCAGCCCTGGCACAGAGCCAGTTGTACAAGGTGCTGTCGCTGTGCTATGTTAATGCAAGAGCCTGTTGCTCACATCTGCTCCTGTTCCCACAGCCCATCAGGAAGGGTCAGCGGGATCTGTACGCCGGGCTGCAGTCCAGGGGCTTCTGAATCGCCCTGCGGATGGCAGGTTGGACAAGAGCAGCTAAGGGCCCCCAGCTTCTGTCCCATGTGATACAGAGTCTCGGCAGTCCGTGCTGGGCAGTCGCACATTCTGGGGACCAGCCCAGCAGCTGCAATGGGAGACGCTGCCCCTCCTTGGACACCCTCCTTCCTGCCTTTGATTTGACCCCAGGGAACAGACACTGACTAAAGAAACAAGAAGAAAAGGTTTTCCCCATTAAATAATTGTAGCTTTCTCCTCTTCGGGCTCCTCCTGGGCTGTCCTGATCACCCTTTCCAAACTGCTGGGGAAACCCTTTCACTCTTCAATTTTATTTATTTCAGTCACATGCTTTGATTTTTCTCTCCAGCACCCTGCACCATTGATCTTGTCCTGACGCTCGGACGGCCTCTTCCCTGCCCAGGGCAAAGAGGAACATTGTCCAGTGTCCTGAGCACCAGCCCGGGAGCCAGGAACACCTGAGCTCTGACCCCAGCTCTGACACTGAGTCCTTCTGTGACCGTGGCTAAGTCCGTCCCCCTCCCCCGCAGCTTTCCCATCTGTACCACGTGGGCAGAGACTCACCTGCTTCCCAGAGATGCGTTAAATAGTGCTAGCAAAGAGCAGACCCTCTCGGAGCACTGGGGCTTGGCTGGCTCTCTCCTGTTCCTCTGGTTTGACATTAGTTCCCGTTTCCCTGCCCAGGATAGTAACGACTCTGTCACCACGTTCCCTGGGGTTCGAAAGGGAGATGCGATGGTCACTATGGGCCGTAAAGGGTAGACGTGGCCGTGTGCGCATCCACCATATTCCTCCTTGAGCCCCGTCCCTGTCCAGCTTGTGCTCTGCAGTGTTCTTCTGGCCACCGCTAGTGTTCGGGGTGTAAGTCCCTGTGCTGTGATCTCTGGGCCCCGGTGCAGTGTGTCAGTCGTGCTCACCTGGTCCTGTCTCAGCGGTGACAGAGCAGTTCATTGACAACACCACGCTGGCTGCCCTTTCCAGCCATGCTCAGCACGCCTGTCCTTGCTGTGGGGTCACACACAGCCCCAACACCCCTTTCCGGAGACCTGCCATGGGGAAAATGGGGCTTGAGCCCTTTCTTGCATCTCTGGGATGGATAAAGTCGGCCTGGAAGGAGGGGATTTAAATATCAGCGATGGACATCTGGAGCCGCCTGGTTTTGCTGGAGACCCGGTGGTTCTCTCAGAAAGGTACCATGTATGGGGCCTAAATAGAAGGCTGGGCGTGTGGACTCTTCAGCACGTGCCCCTTCTCCCCCAAGCCTCCTCTAGACATTGTAAGAAAGCGTCATCTGTAAGCCCCCCAGAAGGGCGCTTAAGTGGCTGATTGAGTCTTTAACGCTTATTATTAAATTACAGTAGCACTGGGAAGCCCCGGTCAAGATCTAGGCCCCACCGGGCTGGGTTCTGCCGAGGAACATAGTCCCTCCCCAGAGACATCACTGTCTCAGGGGGATGAGACGCGTGAGAGGGGACTGGCACCATTTTCCAGATGGGGCTCCTGACCCCCAGTGCCTTAACCACAGGACATTTTCCCTCTGGAGAAGTCCTATAGAATTTAAGAGCAGCAAAACCCATAGGGCTGTGTAGAAATTAGCCCAAACCATAGAGAACTGCAGACAGAATGAGACCCTTTCCATAGGTTTTTTTTTGTACTCAGCCTGTGGAATTCTATAGCAGGGACCCCCATTCCTGTTTCAGTTCTATAGCGTGGTCCAAAACCACATCTAGAAATAGGAGCGTTTTCTAGTAACTGTGCGAGGACTTTCCCATAAGGGCTGTACAAACCCCGTGCTCTGAGTGAGTCTCATCTGGCTCACCTCGCTCCAACCCCCTTCCTTGCTGTGCCCTCCCTCTCCTGTTCCATCTCTGGCTCTCAGGCTGTGTCCAGGCTCCATGGTGTCTGTTACCAAGATGGCGAGTTTGTCTGTATTGAGAAAGGCCTGTTTGAACGTTTATGATGCAAGTATTTCTAAAAGTGCATTATGCAGTCAATAAACTGGGAGGGCTCTGCCCCTGGATCCGCATTGGAGGGTGTTTCCAGTTCATTCGTTCTCAGCACAACCGTTGCTCAGAGGACTCTGCACAGGAACGACCCAGGACTGCAAAAGCTGCTGGGGTCACCACTGAGGTGCACTGGCAGCAGTGTACAAAGGGGCCCAGGGCTAGGCAGTGGGGTGAGGGGCAGACAGCAAACAGTGGAGTGCAATGGCCAGGCTAGGGGAGGGATGTCATCAGCAGAGCTGGGGGCTGCGGGTCAGGCCTGGGGCAAGATAAGAAGGTTGTGGTCACTTACACTCAATTTAACAAACAATTTTCAAAAGCCAGTTGAGTTAAAATTATCCTGTTTCAGGAAGGTGGCAGGACAGTAACAAGCGTGGGGAATGGGATTCAGACTTGTTTCCTTTTCCTGAGAGCCACAGGGGCAGCTGGGAGCAGACACCAGTGTCTGGCTTAGCCCAGGGCTGAGCAGAGTCAGTTTTCTATTGCTCAGAGGGGAGACGTCGCTCCGGAGAGGAAGCAGCAGTAACTGGGGTGGGCTGTGGTTTAGCCCTGGTGTCTCTGCACAGCGATGAGTGAGCACCCAGCCAGCTTCGAGCCTCGGATCCGTGTGCTTGGCCTGGAGGATGTGGTTACAGAGGCAGGCACAGCTGGGTTTACCTTGCAAGCCCTACATGTCAAGAGGAGAGAGTTTGCAAGCAAGAGCCAAACAGAACCACCCCCACACAGCCATGAAACCCCCAGGGCCAGGTTCGCTGCTGGTACAAATGGGTGTCACTCTACTGAAGTCAATACAGTAGTGAAGTTATTGACCTCAGCCCCCTGGTGCAGCTGCATTGCCATGGCTGGGGTCAGACCAGGGATGTGATTCATTTCACAGCGCAGACAGGAACAGCTGCTCTGGAAGTACAGTGGGTCAGATCCTGCTCCCAGCCACACCCACGTGATCAAACTGCCTTCCACAGGGCTGCCGGCATGAGTAACCATCATCTTCCCCACTTGTCAGCTCACTGCAGTATCTCCACACAGCTATCGACAAACCTACACGTCCCTGTCTCCTCGCTTGGCTGCACTTGTGCCTACAAACATCATCAGCATCATGCCTCCTACGGCTAGAATTGCACAGAGAAAACCACAGTGCCATAAAGAGGAAAGAAGCGAATAAGGGAGCTGACCCTTTCAGATTTGCACGGTTTCTCTATGCCCTGCAGTACCAGGCTCACTCCTGGACGGAGTTACAGACCCAGAGCAGGTCTGCCATGGGTGACCGAAGTCTCTTCCCAAAGCATGGGATGGTCTCAAGAGCTGTGATTTTTGCCTGGCCTATGGTTGCTCCTTCTCTGGCACAAGCGGGGCAGCTGAATGTGGCCCCCAACTTAGGTACCAATAACTTTGAATCCTGCCACTTATTAGTGAATGGCATCTACTTACCCCACAGTAATAGCACTTCACTCCTGGCATTTTGGTCTCATGTCTGTCTCCTACACTAGCTCTAGTGTCTCCATATAATTACCCACCTATCACTGTGTGGTGCCAGGTAATTACATGATCCGCTATATGACCCTAGAACAGCCGAATTCATACAGGGGCATTTCCTCCATGTTAACACAGCTAGCAGCTCTCTGGTGCTCACTAAAATGTGTCACCCAAATTCTTAGAAAGCCAGGAGGAGACCACGACCCGCAGGTGTCTGCGACCCGCATGGGGAGGGTGACCTGGTTTCTGAGGTTTTTAACTGCTTGCTGCTCCCATCTGTTACTTGCCACCCATTCTGCCCAGACACTGAGAACTGTAATAACCTGTAAACGGATGGTTTTATTCAAGGGCGGGGAGAAGGGGGGGGCCTTTGGATGGAGAGGACCCCAGGGAACTGGGGCAGTCAAAGCTGTTGCTGGGCAGCAAAGTGTTCCAGTAGCTGTAGCCGATAGGAGAGATGGAAAAGGCTTCATAGGTTACATCTCATGCATCGCATGGCGGAGGCACGTTTGTCAATCCAGACGCTGCGTTCTACGGGCATGCAGGAAACTAACCTCTGGGACATTAAGGAGCCCTCCCATCAGATCCTGAGACACTGGCCTCCCAGACTTTCCTAGGAGGGCCACAGAAACTGCCTATCCCTGCTTCACACCCCATTGGGTGCTTTTGGGAAGGAGGAGAAAGGCACTTATGATCCCTTAGCATTTCCCCGACCAGGCAGCATGATTCCCTCCCCTGCTCATGTCCTTTCCACGCTGCAGGTGTGGCAAGTGGGACAGGAGCTGGGTGCCCTGATGGTTAAAGAGGCCCTGCTAACGTGAGGCCTGTATGTTCCAGGCTGCTTTCCAAAGGCCAACCTGTACAGACGTCGAGGGAGTGCAGGTGTTGGGACCCAGCTGCTTTTTGCTCCATCACTCGGTACCTTTTGTTCTCTAGCCTCAGGCTCTCGACCCTTTGGCCAGAAGTCTGTAATCGTGTCACAAGAGCAATGAACTTTCCCCAAGAACAAGCAACCAAGGGGTTAAACAACTGCTCCAGGCAGGCAGACATCCCTGCTGGGATCAATCCCCAAGGCTCCGACTGGCTCCAACCCGGCAGGAGAGCTCTTAAGGGGGCACGCTGCTCAGGGACCTGACTGCCAGCCACAGCGGGTCCCCAGACGGTGCTGGGTGAGGATACAAACCAGCCAGGGGGTGGATCTAACGATGTGCACACAGGACACCGACCTTGGACTCATTCGTACTGGGCTGAGGCCAGCCCTGCTTGTCTCCTGCTCTGAGGAAGCGCTGCGGTGGGTTCATGCTGCACTGACCAGCCCATCATTCACCTCTGCTCGCTGACCAGACAAACCCCAGACAATTCCGCCCCTTCATCACAGCCCACAAAGAGCATCAGGCCAGAGTGCAGGAAACAGGCCTCTGCTCAACCAGACAGGGCCTTGGGCAGATGCTGGGCAGGGATTTCCCGGTGATTGACGCGGGGGAGGCAAACACCCGGCTTCTGCTCTGACACACCACGTGGCCTTGGTGGAGGCCCTGCCCCTCTCTACCCCTCAGTTTCCCCATCAGTAGAATGGGGCTTACAGCGCTTGCCCACCTGAAGCATGGCACTATTATTTAGGGGCACAGAGGGCAGAGCTGGGCTCCATCCCAGACTGACAACTGGGCCGCCACTCGTAATCACCCCCGGAGAGGCAGGGTTGGAGTGGGGCAGCCCCACACCCTAAGAGCTTGTCTGCTTTCGGCTTGTCCCTTTAGCAGCGCCCCCTCTAGTCACAGAAACAAAAGGGCCCGGCTAGGAGTTACCCTCTGTGGGCAATGGGAGAAGCAGGCTGACCAGCGGCGTTCCCAGAGCCCCCTAAGGTGGAGAGGAGCTGAGCGGACTTGGCTCGCTTTGCACCATCATCCCCGCCTGCTGATGGAGAGTGCTCTGCCCTGCCCCCCCGGTGCGTGATCAGCTCCTCTGTAGCTTGTTTTGCTCCGAGCTCTTGCTGTTTCCATTTCCTCCTCTGTCACAGCAGAGCCGTATCTGATCTGGGGGAGAGCTTGCGTCAGCCCCTCTCCAGCAGCAGCAGCACACCCAGCTCAAAGCATCTCCAGGTTTAGTGCTGATGGTTTGCCACCACGCGATCAGGCCGGCTCGCGGCCTGGGTGTGCGCTGGGGGAAGGGACTGGCCGTCGGGGCCTTGGTGGCTTCAGTCGGAAGCAGAAACTTGCACATGTAAAACCAAACCTATTTTGGTACAAACAACTCGCCCCAGCCCCAGCCAGATCACAGGGGGCGGAGGGGCTGTCCTGCACTTCGCAGCCCTCTGATGGAAGACGCTGCAGGATGAGCCACAACGCCACCCTTCCTGCCACAGGCACTCACAGGCAGTTTATAGCTGCTGGGTGTCTCTCCCCTGCCCCTGCCCCCGCTCCCCGGTCTCGGTGTTTTTCTCCCACGCAATGTTAAAAACAACCAACCACTAGCTCAGCACAGCCAGTCTCCACACCCAGCAGGGACGGCTCAGGGCCCGGCAGAAGCCCCCCACCAGTTTGGCTTGTTGCACTCGGGAAGGGCCCATTACTGATCACATGGGGTCCTGTTAGACAGGACACTCCATCAGCCGCAGGCCTGCCTGCCATGGCGACCTTGGAACGAGGACAGCTAGGAAGGATTCTGCTCCTCTCACCAGCCCGCGCAAAGCCTCTTTATTGCCAAAGCAAAAGCATCACAAAGAGCAGAGAGCTCGACGAGCTCCCTTGGCACTGCAGGGAGCCAGAGGGATTTCGGACAAGCAGGGCCCAGGATCACGTGCGAGCAGAGATCATCGATTTCTTAGACACATTAGTGAGATGTCCATCACCATGGTTTCTGGCCACCGAGCTGCAGAGTGAAGGCTTTGAGGGCTGCTTCAAAGGCAGCAGGATTCCCCAATATTGTTGGTTCCCATGTGGAAAAGAGAGAGGATGAAGGGCCAAGGGTCACAGTTGATTAGACCCCAGGTGCTCTCCGCTCTCATTTGCGGGTCCTGGTGACTCCTAGGCGGCTGTACTGCTCATTGTCCCGCTCACCAAGGGGCTAGGAGGGAAGGAGAAGGTCAGGCTGCTTTGTAAAGTGTTTCTCTGCTCTTCAGGGTCATACACTGCACCCACCACTGTGGTACTTGACCTCAGGAGCTGGGAGCTTGGGGTTCTGATAGGATAAATGGACACAGACAGCCCCTCCCATATCCTCTGCATTCAAAGCTTCAGTATGAAACAGGCAGCCTCAAAACAGAGGAGATGTTGCCTGCACCCACATATCACAACCCAGCCACTGAGTTCCCAGCGAGCAGGACCTTCCAATGAGCACAGTTATTTATTTCAGAACCAGCTGGGAGGAGGAGGCCAGCCAGTGCTCATTTCCCACCATTACTGGTCAGCTCACTTCTCCATATGCTAGTTCATCTTACTGTTGCTGGCCTTTCCCTGCCCTCTCCTGCAGTGCTGGGGCAAAGTAGCTGGCACCAGTTTTGGGTTTAGGGGGGGAGAAAAAAAAAAAAAATTATACAGGCAAATGAATCAGCCTGTGCACATCTGGGTCTCTGTGCCCTACGTATGTCTGGGGGGAGCCTGTGCCTGGGTGTGTCTGCGATGCTCCTAGACAGGTACTTGGGAGCGTGCTGCTGCTCTAGCTCTTCCTGCCCTCCTGCATCCACTACTGCAGGCGCTCTGCACAGATCAGCCTCCTTCAGCGAGAAGGCAGGTATTTAATCTCAGCCTGAAAGTGTGAGAGGGAGGGAGGGGCACCTGGGGCTCAACCCTCAGGAGGTTGTCACTGTGGCTTAAGCAGCCAGCTAGGCACTCCCCGGGTATCGGGGAAATCCCCAAGCAGCCAGCACTCTGTGGGGGTGCTGGAACTAGGGGTGCAGCAGCACCCCCGGCTTGGCAGGGTTTCCCTCACACACAGTGTTTACAGTCTGGTTCAATGGCTCTCAGCACCCCCACTGTAAAAACTGTTCCAATGCCTCTGGCACCCTGTTCCAGCCGCAGGGCAGGAGGTGGGAAGGGGCACAGCCAGAGGGCGTCCCAGCTGCAGTGTGTGCACTGGGGCCGGCTGCTCCAGGATGATCATTACACCGGGCAAAGTGGGGGTGCAGCATGACCAAGTCAGACCCCCCACACTTCCATTCACCCTGGTGGGAGCGTTCTACACCTGCTCTGTACAGATCTAAATCACTAGCAAGGCCTGGAGCCTCTCCAGGCCCTGAGCGATCCCTTCATGCACCAGTCCAGATTTCCGGGCACTAAGTGATGTGAAAGGCTGGCCCAGCGACCACTCGTCACTCACCTGGTAGAGCTGCTCATTGGCGATCAGGTTCTGCCGGTCAGAAGCTAAAATAAATCAAGCAAAGGTCAGTGGGAAGCTCGGCGGGAGGGCAGCATTTTCAAATGACCCCAAGTGGTGATTCTCTCTCCCCCACTCTGCACCTTGTACCACCACTTACACCTGCACAGCACAGGGTCCAACGCCACCAGTCTGACTCACTAGCATTTCACACCCACTCCACACTTCCTGTGCATGGGTGGTAACAGCGACACCAGGTGCAGGGCAGCGGGCCTAGAGCCTCTCTCTGCTCTCCACAGACAGCTGGGCACACATGTTGCTTTTGCTAAGCATAGAGCTTTGTTCACACTAGGCCTGTTCTGCTAAAATGTCACTTATTGCTGCCACTGGTTCAGCCCCGCCAGTGGGGGCGCTGTTGTCAAAAAGGAATCAACATCTACTGGTGTCACTGGGTCAATAACATGGTGCTTAAAATGCTGAGAGCTACAGGAGCCCTATCTACACTAGGGCTCCCACTGTCCCAACTATTGGGAGAGCTAAGCTAGCAGTAGCAAAGGTGGGAAACTATTTGCACAAAAGCCAAATGTAGGCATTCCCTCAAGGTTTACCCTGATGTCTCTGCCTAAAATTTCACCTCTCCCCAACTGTACTCTGTGCTGGCTGCTGCCCTTCACTCCAGGTATGGCTGTGTTCCCACGTGCTGACTACACAGTTTGTAAAGTTATGGGAATTTGTGAGGAAGTTACAGAGGATCAGCCCAGAGGTGGGTGTCCTGCAAAATACAGTGTCTCCTGCTGCTACCCCCTTGCTCAGGCAGATACCCACACTCACAGATGACAGTCTCCCACAGCAACATGCAGACACACAATCACATATGCAGACACCCTCACACTCCCTCCCCCTGGGCTGACATGCAGTCCTTGAGACATGCATGTAGGGGCTCCAGACACCAAACCAGCATCATGTGGGTGAGTGTGATGGAAAGACCCCAGGGATACTGCGCAACGAGTCCTGTCCAACCAGACATTCCCTGTCCCTGCACTGGGCAGCAGAGACACTCCTCCCCCGAGCTGGACAGAGGGGCCTCCCCATCTCACCTCGTAAGCGACGGCCACTGTCTTGGCCGGTGATGCAGTACACGGCGATTGCCAGGAAGACCGTGGCGATGACATCAGCTACCACGATCCCCGAGATGGTGGCTGCATCCAGCTCGATGCAGTTTTGGCACACTGCAAAGCCACAGACACAACACAGAGTACTGAGACCGGGGCACAACCCTCCACACCCACCCACCTCCTACACACCCAGCTCAGCGGCACAGGGAGCAAGCCAGCAGGAGAGCCCCAGAGGATTTCTCTGTTCCCCTTACAAGGCCTCCCAGTTAGAAATATAACCTCCTTAACACACACACGTTCCTCTGCTCTCCCACCTCTAAGGCCCCTCTCAGCCAAAGGCAACTGGACAGGACCCCCGAGGGAGCCTACCAATGCAACGCTGACCAAACAGAACGGTCACTGCTCAGCAACTCCCATTCCCTGACCAAGGCAGGGCTCGGCGCACCCAGCCCAGGGTGCCTGCTCAGAGCAGCCAGCGGCGGGAGTGCAAAGTTGGGATAGGGCAGGAAGCAGGGTCTCTGGTGTGTCAGGGCAGAGCGCTTGCTCCTCCTGAGCCACAGGGCCAGTCCAGAATGAGCTGCAATCATGCATGTGTGCATGGTGATCCAGGAATCACCCATGCAAACAGGCACCTGCCCAGGCACAAGTGCACATCTTAGTGCCTGCTGCCCGGGGGCCAGTTTTGAACACTGGGGCCCCCATGCCACCACCAGTCCCAGTCTGAGAAGTGCTGAGATTTCTGGCTGAGCACTGAAAGTTAGAGTTCAGAGCTGGAAGAGCCCAAGCAGATCATCCAGTCTCCTCCCTCCCCTACTGGGCCAATGCAGGATGGTTCCTTACAAGACACACAGCCTGGGGGGAAATTTGGGGACTGAGAAACACACACATCTGCTACTGCTGCAGCTTTACAGAAAGCCAATGGAGAAATGGCAGGTGTGTTTCACAGAACATTTTAAAAACTTTAATTTCCAGAACAAGGCCATTTTTCATCAAAAAAATAAGTTTGGAATTAAAAATTCCAGCCAGCTCTAGTTTTATAGACCAGAGGCAAACTGACTGGTGAACGTACTTCGGAAATACACCTGTACAGCACTGCCATCATTGCACATATAAACTCCTCTTGGGTCGTCCGCTTCTGCGCCCAAGTTCAACTCTGTGCTGTTGTTCGCTACAGTAATTCCATCTCTCTTCCAGGTTATGTCAGAGGGGGTGCCTGAAAATCCCTCGCACTTCAGGACCACGTCACGGCCACGGCTTTCTACCTTTACGGATGCTGTAAAACAAAAACGAAGGCTGGGAGGTGACAGGTACAAAGCAGCCCAGGGGCTGAGTTGTCATCGGTAACCGAGGTTCAGAACTCAGGTCTCTTACACAGGCACTTAGAAAGGAGGCATTAGAAAGGAGACCGAGATGGCGTCTCATAGAAACCCCTGAATAAAGGTGTTCTCACTGAGAAAATATCCCTGATAATACAGTGATAGGTATAATATTCAGTTATACAATTCAGTTTATAGCTAGATAGATATAGATATATAAAACCATTGATTATATTAATAATTAATCATGTTGTTATATTGTGCCAATTATTAGCAATAAATAACAACTCTGGGCCTGATTCTGCCAACACAACTCCTGGGACAGTGCCTACTGCTGGGAGCAGTCCTATTCGCCCCTATGGAGCTAGTGATGGTCGGAGTAAGCTGTACATCCGTATGAAGTGTTTGTAGGATCAGGTCCTTAATTAGCAGTATCTAATATCGTTATACAGTACTTATTATATTAATATAATATTGCAACTGACATTTTACCAGGGAGATTTTCACTCAAGCACAAAATAATTGGGCCCAGCATCCTTTGACCTGCAGTAAATTCTGGGTGTGGATGTGAGGCCCTGATCCCGCACATTATACACAGGCTGAATGGTAAGTGAAAGGGTTTGCAGATTCCGGGCTATTAATAATTAGTGGTGGTGGATGGAATTTTTTAACAAGTTTTTAAAGTAAAAAAGGTGGGGAGATCAGCCAAACCGGATAGCAAAAGATAGTTCTGTGGTCAGCTCTGTAACTGGTGAGCAAATTTAACTGAAAACCGATTACAATGAAAACAGTGTAAAATTCACAAAATGTGTTTCCGGTGGGGGCAGGGTCAAGCCCATGGGGGTCACTCCCCAGCCTTCAGAACACAAAATAAAGTTACTAGGATTGTTGTTGTTTGAGCACTGACAATGAGAGCAGTGCAGCTCATACTGCAAAGCCGCCCTCGGCAACACAGACACAGCTGAGAAATTGGATTACACCCCCCCAACACACACACACATCCCGTTTTTCAGTCACCTCCAGTCTAGGTGTCTAATTCCTGTACCTGTTTGTGTTTGTAAATCAGGTAGTTTGGTGTCTGCTAGTTGCACACTCAATTGTCAGCAGTTCAAAAATGCAGCCATAATTATTTGGAGGTGCAAAATCTTGACTGCACAAAGATAGGCTGGCTTGAGGTCTGTCCCTATATTTATATATGTATCATTAATCGCTTATATTAAGATTGCAATTATATTCTAAATTATTATGAGAGAAATATATTTTATTGCTAAAATAATTATTAATCAGTAGCTTAATGGATGTTAAACTGCCTGGGGTGGGGACTCTGTTCACTCCCTTTTCTGTGCCCAGAGATCCATGCTTAAAGAGATAACATGCAGTAAAAGGGACAGCTTCAACTCAAAAATCTCACTTCTCTATGGAGCTTTATTCTCCTCAAATGACTGCAGTTAGAGAAGATAAAAGATATTTTCTCTCTGTTTTTGAGTTTACAGTGTTTGAAGTCAATGAGGTCCTGTGTGAACGTAGTGCGCTCATTGCAGGGTCAGGGCCTTAATAGTCTCTTTCTCCTCTTCATGAGTCTTTCACGTGGCAACAGGGGCAGAACTGGCCCAAACAACTTCATTCTGTAGTCCAGTGCTTTTCCCCGTTAATTGCACTGATTACCACAATGTTGGGCCTGATTCTGACTTCACTTGCATCAGTTTTGCCCTGGAGTAACTTTGCTGACTTCAGTGGTGCTATTACGGATCCGCACTGGGGTGATCAGGGATCAGAAGCGAGACCTTTACATTTGTTGTTGTACCAGTTTGGCCAATTGTCAGTTCTTGGTTTCCCCACTGGAGAGAACTCAGAGCGATTTGTCCATCAACCCTCTTGGTGACAATTCACACGCTGGACTGGATTCTGAGGCCTCATATCCCATGAGTGAGGAAGTGGCTCTTTTCCGTTATTTGCTTTTCCTGCTCTAAGCTGCTGCCTAGTATTGCCCCCCCCCGAGAGGCAGTTCTGAGACTCGTGGGCCCAATCCTGCTTCTAGCGAAGCCAATAGGAGTGATGCCATCAACTTCACTGGGGGGCAGGATAGGGCCTAATGTGAATCAGGGTGCAGTCTGTCCTACTGTAAGGCAGGCTGGGCTTGTAACAGGAACTATACCAGCCAGTAAGTCACCGTAAAGGGCTTACCTTATTATATATGTCTCTTGTAATGTGCTTTCTTTCCTTGGGACATGAATCGATGCCCTGCTATTTAAAATGATTACTACAGAAGTGAGCATGCTGCACAGGTGAAAGGTATGACACTGACCACCCCAGAGACTGAAGCCTTGTGTTTATCCCCAGAGCAATCAGGGCATAAACAATGACCACCTGTGCTCCCTCCAAGTCCCCCTCCCTCCCCAATGAGCTCTAATACAAACACAGGATGCAGAGTTCTGGCTGCCATGGCTGTGAAATAGACACTCTCTGTGACTTTCAAGAGCAAAATGCCTCCTCCATCCAACCCTGACCAAAAAGGGCTTTAAATGAGCTCTGTAGGGTTTTTTACCTTTAGTTCTTTTGTCTTGTGTGACGACACCTGAGGGGGGAAAAGAAAAAATGTAATTTAGAAGTGCCACAAACCCTCCTGCTTCAGAGAATAATGACAGGACATAGGAAGAAACCGGCCAGTCTCAGAGAGAGGATACAGGGCTATCTGGGCCGCTTCTCAGACCAGGCTCCTGCTCAGACCAGGCCTGGCAATTCCTATGTTCCTGATTCCATTTAGTTATAAAGACCAACGTTTTCAAAAGTAGCCACTGATTTTCAGTGTCTGGTTTGAGCTTCCCGGGGCCTGATTTTTAGCAGTGCCGAGTACCCACACTTCCAACTGAAATTAATGGGAGCTGCAGATACTAAATCAGGCCCAGGTTGGCTGAAAATAGGCACCCCAAAATTGAGTCACCCAAATGCATTGGCCATGTTTTAAAATGTAGGCTTTAGTGATTCTAGAACTTGCTACCCAATCGGCGCATTGAAGCCCAACTCCTTCATCATTCTGGCTAAAGGCTCAGCGATCCACTCACACTTTTTTCCAGGGCTGGGTTGACTGAAGGGAGCATGCCGAGATTTTTTGGAGTAGGGGAAATCTATTTATATGGCATTAAGGAACTATTTGTTTTGAATCTTTGTATGTGTACTTAGAGACTGTCAAACATACGTCTTCTATAAGTCAGATGAAATAAAATGCAGATGTCTCTTCAAACTCAAACATATAAACACACTTTGCACAAATCAAAGATACAAATATTAATCTAATCTAATTAATTTAAAATAAGATTTAATCTTTACCTGCACTCAGCAGGTGCTAAATGTTAAAATTTCACCATCCTTTGAGGTGTGTGCAGCAATCATGTCCCATGTTTAGAGCCATGAACAAGAACGGATAACACAAAGGGGCAAAACATACCCAACGCACACTCTGTGCAATTCCTCTGATTGGAATAGTGCGTAACTTAGGGCACAATGTGGCCCAAAGTTCCATTAACACCAACAAAACACATCACAAACCTACTGATTACATCTGAAGAGAAGTGAGGCTGCATTAGCCAAAAAAACACTTGGGGAAAAGGGGATTGCTTCCCTTTGTTATATGTATGCACTCTCCAGTGAGCTCTACAAACTTTACACACTATATAATATTAAAACAGATTAAAACATTGTATGACTTATTTGCCTAAAATGAAATTATTCTTGGTCACAGTATTTGAGTTTGTCTCACAGAGTATTTAAAGTGATCATGTTTTAGTTACTTGCCAAACTAAACTATATCACCACATGGTCTCCCCCCCCCCGCTTTAAACTTTGTGAGTGACCTTAATGTTCATGGAAAGCACAAACAGTAGAGATGGAAAAGGCCCATTAGATCTTATTGAGTCCATCTCCCAGCCAAAAAACAACCTCCAAAACCAAATCTATATAATACAGATAAGGATGTATTTCTTAAAAAGGAACTAACAAGATGTGTGCCAGCCCTAACTCTCACAGCTTTGCCTGCCTATCTATCTATCGGGCTATACACCTTCCCCCTCCATTTATTTGTCTGTGTTTAGTCTTACAGATTGTTTGCGCCTCATGGCAGGGACTGTCTTCTTACAATGTCTTTACAGCACTGAACACATTTGGGGCATTATGGTAATAAAATAGTAATTAATTGTTAATAATGCAGGATTGAAGATCTTACCTTTGATGATAAATCCGACCGTTATTACACTGACAAGATACCCAAGTCTCCCCATGGTCCTTCTCCTTAACACTAATGTGCAACTGCAGTTATTTCCTCACTAGTGTAGGAAAAATTACTTCACCCGCTTAAAAAATATAATACAATCAAAGGTCTCTTTTCTAAACGGCAGAGATATGAAACCAGTAACAAGAGCCTTCTCAGATGTTGGCAACAGGAAGCCTAGGAGTGGAAGCCTCTGTCTTCTTTCCCCTAAGAACGTCAGTTTAAAGACGTCAGGGTTGTTACCGAAGTTGTTTCGCTGTCACCAAAGTTGCTGCCAACGCAGATCAGAATACAGTATTCAGTTGCAAATAAAAGATTCGCCCACTAAAAACAAAGAAGGAAAACTGTGCCTAACTTGGGCATCTCCACAAAGTAGCCATACTGCAGCTAACTTCTTTAGGTCCAAATCACACCCAAGGGGCATTTTCTCAGGTATATTATGAGCTGAATTAGACAAGAGTACTCTAACAAAAATCTGTGGCCACCTCGGACTTCAGGGGGTTAATACCCAGCCCTGCCACTCCAACTTTCTCATCTGTAGCAGGGATAGAGTTCAGGTCCTGCTGCTCCAGAAGCACAGGCTAGAAGGGAGCTAAGGAGAACTGCTGTTAGAAGCAGAGGTATAAGTTATGATACATGGAGCAGTTCCTACTCTATCCAGCACATGGGAATGGTGCATATCCACACTAGCTAGCTCATAAAATATTTTGGTGGTATCTACGCACATGATTAACTTGGTCCTTTGGCTTTAGGATTAGTGTAGCCATTTCTCACCAAATGTGTTTGCTTTAACGTTATTGTTGCCCACTTTTGTGTTCAGCAGTGATTCCCAAGAAAGCCCTTTGCAGGAATATCCATAGATTCATAGGCCAAATGGGATCACTGTGATCATCTACTCTGACCTCCTGTGTAACAGGCCAGAGAACTTCCACCCAAATAATGACTGTTTGAACTAGAATATATTTCAGAAAAACATCCAGTCTCGATTTTAAAATGGCCAGTGATGGAGAATCCACCACGATCCTTAGTAAGTTGCTCTAATGGTTAATTACCTTCACTATTAAAAATTTACATCTTATTTCCAGTCTGAATTTGTCTGGCTTCAACTTCCAAATGCTGGATCTTGTTATAACTTTGTCTCCTAGATTGAACAGCCCATTTTAAATATTTGCTCCCCATGTAGGTACTTCCAGTCTGTGAGCAAGTCACCCCTTAACCTTCTCTTTGTTAAAATGAATAAACTGAGCTCTTTGAATCCATTAGTATAAGGCATATTTTCTAATCTTTTAATCATTCCCGTGGTTTGTCTCTGACCCCTCTCCAATTTATCAACATCCTTCTTGAATTGTTGACACCAGAACTGGACACAGTACTCCAGCAGTGTCCACACCAGTGCCAAATACAGAGGAAATATTGTTTGTGACCAGCTTACCAAGAGATCACAATTACTATGTATCAGTGACCTGTCCTCTTCATTATTTACCACTCCCCCATCGTTGTGTCATCTGCAAACTTTATCGGTGATTTTATGTTTCCGTTCAGGTCACTGATAAGAAACGATCCCTGCAGGACTCCAGTAGAAAAACACAATATTGAAGTCCAGGTTCTTCTCACTCTGCTCCTGTGATTCCCAGCAGTCATGTCTGTGCCTCCAAATGAACAGAATACCTACTTATTTGCAAACCAAGCCAGTGTTTTATTAGAAATGATTTGTGTTGAAACAGTTCCACCTCGTGGGGAATCATTTTTAAACCAGAGAGTGAGAACTCTGTGAAAGCATTGTACTGGACTTTCCCTCTGTTCCTTTTCAGCTGCTACACAATTATTAAAAAAAACTAATCAGTTTGTGCAGGTGATCTCAGCTTCGACAAGCTAAAACAAGCTGGGTGAGGTCAGTACTTTGAAGCAAGTCTGTTAAAGGAAAACCCATGCACTATAGAAAATCGGATTTGTGATTAGCTCTGTATGTGGTCCCTGAGTTAATAGAGAACCCACTGATCCAGCATAGTACTAGGGGTTGCTGGGCTGAGTTTCTTAATTTGGGTGAAATGTAAAAACGAAGGACCAGATTTTCAAAGGTATTTAGGCACCTAAAGATGCAGCTAGGGACCTAGTGGGATTTTCAAAAGTGCCTAAGCACCTAATTTCCCATGGCTGCCTAAATACCTTTAAAAATCTAGCCCTAAGTGATAAGGACTTTACCACTTGAGATTATTAACAACCCCTTGCCACACTGTAATGACACAAAGCCCTTTGGATGAAAAGTGATTTATAAATAGGGTCTACCAAATTCACGGCCATGAAAAACGCGTCACGGACCGCGGAATCTGGTCTTTTGTGTGCTTTTACCCCATACTATACAGATTCCACAAGGGAGACCAGCGTTTCTCAAATTGGGGGTCCTGACCCCAAAGGGAGTTGTAGGAGGGTCACAAGGTTATTTGGGGGGAGGGGGTGTCACGGTATTGCCACCCTCACTTGTGTGTGCCTTCAGAGCTGGGCGTCAGAGAGCAGTGACAGTTGTCCCAGTCGCTCAGCTCTGAAGGCAGCGCCCCCCACTGCAGCACTCTTCCACCAGCACAGCTGCATCTATGCTAGAAGTTAGGTTGACAAACTATGTCAATCAGGGGAGTGTTTTTCCACATCCTTAAACAGTGTAGCTAGTTCAACCAGACATTTAAGGGTAGCCCAAGTAGGGTAACCAGACAGCAGGTGCAAAAAATCGGGACGGGGGTGAGGGTAATAGGCTTTTATATAAGAAAAAGCCTCAAATATCAGGACTGTCCCTATACAATCAGGACATCTGGTCACCCTAAGCCCAATACTTTTTATTAGACCAACTTCTGTTGGTGAGAGATACAAGCTTTCGAGATACACAGAGCTCTTCTTTAGGAATGTTTCTGTCATTGTCGGAACATCACTTCCCCCAACAACATTGGCTATGCTGACACAGAGCACTCTCTCCTTGATGTAGCTGTGTGGACAGGCGGGTTTTGTCGCTCAGGGGTGTGTTTTTCCACACCCCACTCTGGTAGCTAAGCCGAGGTGTTAAATGCAGCCCAAGCCCTGGAGGATTGTGCAGTCCTGCTCCGCGGACGAAAACCCCTCCCTGGCCTCGGCTCTGCTCAGGGCGCGCCCAGGAGCCTGGCCCTGGACTGCGTTCAGCCTGGCGTGGCAAAGGCCTGTGACAGCTTTGGCGCCCACCTATGGGCGTTGTCGCCGTGAGCGTGCTGCGGAGGGTGTCCCCCGGGGAAGTACCGCCAGCCCCGGGACTGAGCGCCACGCGCTGCTTCGCCTGCCCCCGGGAGGGACCCTGCCCCCGCCCGCACGCAGAGGCGGCAGCCGAGCCCCGTCAGCCGGAGCCGGGGCGCGCGGGGAGCCAGCCCCGTTACGGGGGCTGTGGGGGAGAAACGAGCGCCTGGTCCCCCTCCGCCCAACACGTGGCGCCTACCCACGTGCTTCCGGCCGCCAGGCGCTTCCGGCGCTGGGGGGTGACGCGCGGCGCGGGGCGGTGACGTCTGCGGTTGCCAGCCTGAGGCTGAGCGAGAAGTGGAAGCGTCCGGGCCCCGGTAAGAAGCCGCAGCTCCGCCCCTCCCCCCCGCTGGCGGGCGGCCCGTGGGGAGCGGGCCTGGGGGGCGGGGCGAGCCCCGGGCGTGCGTGGGGCGGCCGGGCCCTGACGCGGCCCCCGCGCGGGGCGGGCCTGGGACCAGCCGCGGAGCCCCGCGCCCCCTGCTCTGCGGCGCGGGGGGCTGCCAGGCCGGGCCTCGGTTCCCTTCCCCGCCGGCAGCAGCGCGGCGCTCGGCTCAGGTTCCCGCTCCGGCCCCGTGCTGAGCCCGCGGAACTGCCGGCCACGGGGCCCGAAGCCTCGCGGGGGTTTCATCGGTGGCCGTTAGCCGGCCCGGCCAGGGGCGCACCCCGCTGGTGGGAGCGACCCCACCTCTCCCAGGGTCAGGAGCTGGGGTTGGGCGACGGGCTGGGTCACGTAATAATTGTCCGGCTCCGTTCGCGCCCTCTGAGGCACCTGGCCCTGCCCACGGCTGGAAGCCGAGCTACGGGACCCCGTGTGGGAGGGAGCCCTGGCTCACTTTACAGGGTAAATGGAGAGGACCGACTGGCGGGACTGTCATTCTGTGTATGAGCTCACTTGCGTAGAGCGAAAGTTTGGGGGAGCTGAGGTTTTCATCTACGAACACTTAACTCTTATATAGTGATTTTCATCAGGTCTCAGAGGGCTTTACGAAGGACATCAGTTGCTCATCACATGCAAATACTGTCTGGAAGTGCTGGTGTTATGTTTTTTGGGAGCATGATGGGAACGGTTTACCGTGCACAAGTTTCCCATCCTCAGGTTCTTTGAATTGTGTGAGAGAGATGGGTGGAGGAGAGAGCGTGAGGAAGAGAAGAACAGTGCAGGTGGAGAAAGTTGCATGAGCCAGCCCCACCAAATCAGATGTGTGTTTGTGGATGTGGGTAAAGCAGTGATAGAGCCTTGAATTTCACCTGCTTTGTGTCCCTGCTGTCACAGTGGCCCTGCCCTGCCTAACAAAGCTGACCACAGGAGCAGCTCTCAAAGACTGTTAACTCAAGTTTCCTTCCTGGGCTCCTATGGCACTCTGCTAAATTGCAGAAGTATTTGTCATCCAACACTCTGGAACCAGTACCAATGGCTATGCTAACCGGGAGGAAACAAGGAGGAGGGAGCTGCAGAATAAGAACAAAAACAAGAAAGCCCAATAATTAGAAAGCAAAGAGGAAAAGGACAGAGAGTGCTGAGGTAGATATGGGCAGGAGAGGGAGAATGGTCAGAAGGAAGATGCCGCTGCCTGTGATGCATGGCATGAGGAGACATGGGGAGGGCATTCCAATCTCTTCCAAGGGGTTTTTCACCAGAAGAATGTTGGGAGTCACTTCTATACAATATTGTGCTTCTGGGGTTTTCTTGGATTTGCTCCATCTGCAAGTTGTGGCACCGGAGCTACCTTTTGGCTTGAATTAGAGCTGTTAGTCCCTCACCCACCTTGTTGCTCTATCTGTTAGAGCAGTCATTTGAATGACATTTCACTATATAATAAATAAAACATTAGCATCTACTTTCATACCAATAAACCTAAATGCTCAATTTTTTTCACTAGCTTG